CCGGGACTCCACATAACTCACAGTTGGGTGTTACTGCAGCCACGGTGGCTGCAGGTGTTATGGCCAAGTTATCGATCTTTTGGCTTAGTTGGTCAAACTTCGCATTGACTTGGTCCATACTACTTACTTCGTACATACCTCCCTTTGTTGGTTTCTCAGTTGCGACTCTTTCGCTTCCCCAGAGGTAATGATTTTGAGCCATACTTTCGATAAGTGCATAGGCATCACTATATTCTTTGTCCATCAATGCACCACCCGCGGCAGCGTCAATTGTCATTCTTGTATTGTACAAGAGTCCATTATAGAAGGTATGGATGACCATCCATTCTACTAATCCGTGATGTGGACAAAGCCTAAGTAGATCCTTATAGCGTTCCCAAGCTTCGAATAATGATTCACTTTCTCTTTGCTTAAATCCATTGATCTGAGCTCTCAGCATAGCTGTCTTGCTAGGTGGAAAATATCTGTTCAAGAAAACTTTCTTAAGCTGTTCCCACGTAGTTACTGAGTTTGAAGGCAGAGATTGAAGCCATGCTCTTGCTCTGTCTCGAAGCGAAAAAGGAAATAGACGTAGTCTAATAGCTTCTTGGGTAACTCCATTGGCTTTTACGGTATCTGCATATTGCACAAAGATCGAAAGATGGAGATTCGGATCCTCGGTAGGATTTCCGGCGAATTGGTTTTGTTGCACGGCTGATATCAATGATGGTTTTAGTTCGAAATCGTTTCGGTTGATAGCCGGTGCTGCAATGCTTGAATGCGGTTCACCTTGCGAAGGATTAGCGTAATACTTGAGTGGATGAGCTTGTTCTTCAGCCATTCCTGCGTTTTCTGATTTTACGACTGGTTCAGGCGGGTCTAATTGAAGATCTGGAATATTGGAATTATTTTCGAAATCGAGTATACGTCTTCTTACGTGTAAGAAGCGTTCCGATTCAGGGATTAGAGGTTGCAAGTCTTCGCTTTTGGAGCGAGTACGTGGCATACACTCGGAGATTAGATTAAATTAAATAGTTGATACCTTAGTCTAGACAATGCTACCTAAGTGCACTAGTAACTAAATTAAGGAATCCCCGGCAACGGCGCCAAAAACTTGATGGGCTAAGGACGTGTCTACTTATGCGTCTAGCGGTATCTTACTGCAAGTGCACAGCCTATCGAAGTAATATTTAAGATTATCGATCCACAGGGATTCTATCGTTACGTAGTGCTAGATGAACTTCTAGTTTAGCTAAGGCGAATAGTTGTCACGATTTTTGTTGGTTTCCTAAGACTATTGAAGGCGGAATAAAAATTAAGTTTTCAATAAAATAATACTAAAACGGTCGGTATGTAATTATACTAACTTAGGTGGGTCAATCTAACCTAGGCTTATAAAGATGTTCACTTAATCTACTCGGTAGAGATTACTAGTTTGAATACCCTCAACTCACACTCTCGTGGTCTTGAATCAGATCTTATCCCTAAAGCCCTATGCCTGCTCTCGCTAGCCCATAAGTGTTTAGAAATAATTTTTGGAAACTAAATAATTCTAATTTATCTTAAAGCGCTCTCGCTGTATTTAATTTAAATGCCTAACTTTAGCTATCTGGTTAAAATCTCACACTCTCGTGGTCTTGACCCAACCTAATACCCTTTTCTTACTCTCGTAACGAAAAGGTCAAATTTAATTAAAAAGTATCAGCCAGAATGTTAAGCGATTAATTATTTTAGCCCGTGGTTATATCTTACCGGTTAAGTTAGTTATAACTACATACCGCCCTAAGGTATTTAGCTACTCATCGAGGTTAAATCAGACTCAGAGTTATTTATTAACTTACTAATGGCAGAGAAATAATTGGACATTATAAATAAATTAAATAAATTAAATTGTAATAACTGAAAAAAAACCTGATTAACAATATCTGGGTAGACTCCTTCTTCCACAGACCGGAAAGCTTGGAGTAGGCGGAAATAAAATTTAAAACGAAATGCTGAAGGCTGGAAACAAATAAAGGTATAACAATTCCCTAATGTTGGAAATTGTTACACGGTTGGTTTGGATACGAATAAAATAAGGCAGAAAATAAAATGCTGGAATAATAAAATGATGGTAAGGTAATTCGGCAGAGCTTCCGCAGGAAATTTGGATACTGAAGTCTCTCCCTAAATTCTTCTGAGCTGGTCCTATTTATAGAGTTCCCATGGGCTGGTCCTGGATCTCTTGCTTCTTGGGCTTTGCTGAAGTGGTTGAGAAAATGTTGGAAAGTGGCAGCAGAAAGTGGGAGAAACTTCCCTCACGTGAGAATTACTAGGAGGAGTGGCTTCACTGGTGACTTTGACGTAATCTGGGTCAAAAGAATCACGTTATATCCTTGTCACGGGCGTGACAAGGTCTTCACGCTCGTTGCCTTATGTTTCCAAGTGTCACGGTCGTCACCCATTCCTCACGGTCGTGAGGTCCCAAAGCAAGGTGTCACGGTCGTGACTCCCTTGTAACGACCGTGGTCGTAACAAATTATGCAGAGTTTTATGCAGGCTTCTGTCTTGCTTCATTTCTTGTGGTTTCTTTGTTCTTTTCTTCTTAATTCTTGATTTGGCCTCACATATCGATGTACCTGCAAAATAGTAAGAAAAACTCGAGGAATCGAGCGTTAAAACGGTGAATGCGCGGTAAAAGTCAATGAAATCTAGCGATATAACCGATGCGTTTTCTCGTCATCACTGGCATATCGGCAGATTGTTCTGCTGGAACAAGGGTCATGCCAAAAGTTTTCATGTTGGATTGCTCATTTTGAACATATTTCCTTCATAGGTTCCTCCAAGGGTGTTGTTGCAGTAGGCTATAAATCTTCCGCTTCTGATGTGTCTGATGTATTCAAAGTTTCCCTCGATTGATCTTCCCTTGTTTGTTTCAGTCCCTCACATTATTTCCCAATTATAAAATTGATAATCTTGTGTGTTTCAATAATTTCAGTATCGGAGGTGGATGTTGGAGTTTCAGTAGAGCTTGAAAGTGCTCCCAAAGTTCTAGAACTAAACACAGAAGCAACTTGCCATACTTGGTTCTCCAAATTTTTAATGTTTACTCCTTGAGTTCTAAACTGGTTCTTCATTTCTTGTATGAAAGACTTCAGGATATTTTATAGTTGGTTATTCCTTTGATTAGCCATAGCAAGATTGGGTGTAGAAAAACTAGGCAAAATTCGAGGTGTTTTAGGCTTGAGTAGTTTTTTTGTTGCTCAATGAGAGGTTTAAGTGATTATGCCACCCACGATTATAAGTTTTGTTGTAGGAGTTGTTGTACTTGTTGTTGCCCATATAGTTTACATAAACAAGGTTAGCTAAGCATTCTTCAAATAAATGAGCTCCCCCATAATAAACACAAGCAACTGGGTTCAACTGCTGGCACATCAAGACTCATAATCATGTTCATCATTTGGTGAATCTGAGGCACTTGAGAAGCAAGTGTTGTTGTCTCAGTGACTTAATAGACACAATCTGACTTCTTTTGAGTGCAGGTAATAAAAACTCTGGTAACTGGCTAGTGGTAGGTGTTGGCAGTAACACTTTCAATCAATTTGTAACCTTTTTCATAGGATTTAGATAGCAAAAATCCACATGAGGATGCATCTAACATGTTTCTTGAGGATGATACCAATCTATTGTAGAGTGTTTCCAATTGAATGCAGATTGGTATCCCATGATGAGGATATTTCCTTAACAACTCCTTGAATTTTTCGCAAACATCAAACAAAGACTCATCATCTCATTGTCTAAATGAAGTATTCTCATTCCTCATTTTGGAATTCTTAACAGGAGGAAAGTAGTTAGCTAAATAATTTTCAAGTCAAACATTTCATGTGGCTATAGAATTGGGCTCGAAAGAGTTCAATTAATTTTTACTCTATCCCTTAGAAAGTATGAAAAAAGTCTGAGTTTGAAAGCATCATTAGTAATTTCAGGTATTTTGAAGTTGCTAGCTACCTTCAAGAATTGCCTCGAGTGCAAATGTGGATCTTTATTGGCAACTCCTAAATACTAGTCTGTTGTTTGCGGCATTTGAAACATCACAGGCTTGAATTTAAATTGTGCCGATGTGATCTTTAGTCTTATAATCTTTGTATTCATATCATTGGGATCAAACACAACACAATTCCTTATGTTTCTTGCTTTATTATTCACAATATCAATAATGTCATATTTTGCCATGACTCCTTCCTCGTCCAATGCTACTTCTTTAAAGTTTCATTCAAATGACTTTTCAAAGTATCTTTCAAAGTTATAAAAAACAAGAGCTGATGGAGAACTTCCTGGTAAATTACCAGTAACTTGAAATCACCTTAGTAATTTCAACATTCTCTTTAGCTCACAATCTCCTATGTATACTGGAATCAGCAACATGCAACACATATACACCTGTCATGTCACTAGAAGATAGAAAATGTCAAAATCTCTAATACTATATTAAAAAAAAATTGTACAAAAATTAAAATGTTCTTGACACGCTCCCTAACAACCGACATCTACAACTTGCTAGGTGAAAATTATATAACACGCAAGCATACACAATTCATAGTAACAAGGGTTTTGCTAACCAGTGCCCTCAGGGCACTATTTAAACATTCCATATTAAAAAATTATTCTTTAAAAAATTCAAACACTTCAATTTCTAATGCACATTATTACACATTATTGCACATACTTTTATAAAAACTTACTATTTAAAGTTTTAAAAGTGTTCTGAGGACACTGGTTAGCATTTCTCTAGTAACAATTAGAAAAAAAAGTAAGAATATCGGTACCATCACCAAATTCATATTATTAATATTAATAAAAAATATAATTTATAATTTAAAAACTTAAAATCAATCTAAATTACATTAAATCCAATCAAATTAAATTTATTTATTTTATTAAAATATTATTTTTTCACAAATAATTTTACAGTGTTAAAGAATTATGGAAATTTGCCATTTGGGATACAAGTTGAAGAAATTGCAGTGATCAACTGAGTCGAAATGTTTGGTGCAAAAGCTTTGATTTTGTTGTCAAGGAAATGGAAATTGAAACCACCAAACACTGTTATGAGCTTTTCTTCGTCTTCACAACACGTGAAGTTCAAAGCTCCTATGGATATGGCTGCTATAGATGGCGAACTTAGGGTTTTTCTTGTTGCTGGTGAAGTTTCCGGTGATTCCATCGCTTCTCGTCTCATGGCTTCGCTTAAGCTTCTCTCACCTTTCGCTGTTCGATTTTCCGGCATTGGAGGGTAAACTTTCTTTCTTCCGTTCTACAAATTTTGAAGATGGCTGAGAAATTGTATTCATTTATGTGATTTGAATGTTTAATCTATTTCAGTACTAAGATGAGAAGTGAAGGATTGCAATCTTTGTTTCCTATTGAAGATATCTCGGTAATGGGAATTTGGGAACTATTGCCACATTTGTATACATTCAAAGTGAGTTCTGATCCCTCTGAAAAAATGCGTGTTTGTGTCAATGACACTTGTTGTGATCATGTATAATTTATTAATTTTTTGAAATTATCATCGGTGCCGGTATTGGTGTGTTAGCGTGTGTCCGTGCTTCATAAGTTACATTGGTAAGATTAAGAATAAGAAATATAACTAATTGTTTTCTGTTTTGGAATTATGGGGTGTTTGAGTGATCACTGATCAGCTTAATTTAGTCCTATGAATAAGAGTTTAATTAATAAGCTGTTTTCCAAATCTACGAAGTGAAGCGATAAACTCTGCATTAACTTGTTTTGCATATGCTTTCTTCGACCGATTTTGAAAATTAGCTGAAAATTGTTTATGTATATATCGTAAGTTATTTCTATAAGCTCTTCCAAACACTTATACAAGTGCTTAAAATGAAGCAAATAAACTTTTCCAAACAACTACTTGATTGCTACTATAGCTTAAGTGTTTGAGGATCTTTTATTGTGTTTTGAATCTTTTTTAAAGCTTGTGTGTAAATAACACGTGTATATGTATTCCGTGTTTTTCGTTTTCAGGTGAGACTGAATGAAGCTGTAAAAGCAGCTTCTCTATTTGAGCCTCATGTCGTATTAACAGTTGATTCGAAGGGCTTTTCTTTTCGGTTCTTGAAGCAGCTAAGAGGTACAACTACTAAATTTTTGTTGATGGATGATCTGTTGTGGATTTGCTATTTAGCGGTTTGTTGTATGCAAATGGGGAATGCGTTTTGCAGCTAGACACAGTCAGCAAAAGTTGCATTCGCCCGTACATTTTCACTATGTAGCACCATCGTTCTGGGCATGGAAAGGAGGTGAAGAAAGGCTTGGAGGACTTGCAGAATTTGTAGATCATCTGCTTTGCATACTTCCAAATGAGGATAAAATTTGTAGATTGAATGGATTATCTGCAACCTTTGTTGGACATCCTGTTTTAGAAGACATTATGGAGTTGAATTTGGTACGAGCTTTGTAGTTTCTTAGGACCTTTATGTGTGACGTATATATTTGTATTCCTCTTTCTTCCTTAGCAATTTTTTTCTTGTTTATTTTCCTTGTGTAGTTAAAGTTATGGTTGAGTTTTGTCAGTAACTACTGGATATTTTTTTTCAGATAAACAGTCCCTCAATCAATGAATGTATGGCTGAAGGAAATGGCGAAGACTTTCGAAGAAAACATGAAGTTCCTCCAGGTACTTCTAAATTGTAATCAAACACAGCTCCACAAGCTCAATATGCATCTTTAAGAAATGCCAAAGGCAACATTTTGAACCTGAAGTTAATTATAGGTCCTAAAAAGAAAGTTTGCGAAAGCCGAAAACCATTTTTTAGATACACTTTGCACAACTTGTTGAATATTGACATCATAGTTTGCTTTATCATCTTGTCGACTTTAACTTTAAAGGAGCCACTGTTATTAGCTTGCTTCCTGGAAGCAGAGTACAAGAAGTCAGTCGGATGCTTCCCATCTTTGCAAACACAATGGAACTACTGAAAGACGATGTTCCTCAGTTGACAACAATCATTCATGTTGCACCTAATGAACATGTGGAAAACTTCATTGCTGGTGCTGTTCATAGATGGCCTGTCCCTGTTGTACTGATTCCTGGTGGAACAACACACATGAGATATGATGCTTTTAGTGTATGCCCCATTGTCTCACTGAATTTTCATTTCAATAACAAATAATTTTCAGCTTCTTGTGTCTATACTTGTAGCATTAGTAGAAAATTAGTTTAATACTCGTGATATCCTCTCCTTACGGTTCATTATACAATGATCAGACTCTAGCTTTATCAACTTCTAGTGGGCGCTTAATTGAATACACAAATCTAAATTTTAATAACATCAAAATAACTGTTAATATCTTAGTTTCCTCTTTATTTTATGTTGATCTTACTCAAATCAATAGATGTCTATACTATATTATTTTAAATTGGCGCGCATGTTAGGTTAGGTAGGACCAAAGTACCTTGTTTTTCTTCCACAGGAATAAAATAACGTTAGATACAATAAACCAACAATGTGGGTATATCTGTATTTATTTTGACTGAAGCTTCCATTATTGTTGATTAGAACTGTGTTTAAATTCTTACATATCTTACATGAAGGTTG